ATATGAAAGAAAAAAAATCTACACATAGATAAACTAAAAATCAAACACCATTCAAGCCGAAAAAGAAAAAGAGAAGACAAAAAGAAGATTTGAGTAAAGCCTTTTGTTATTTAAGGGGTCACTTGTAACTGGCAGTAGCACGCACATGTTTTGTCTTCCAAACATGACCCTCAGAACCTAGCAAAAAATACCGATATAAAAGGCACCGATTTGAGGTCATTTAAGTCATTTTATTAAAATTCTACCCGAGGTCGGTCCACGGAATATCTTCAGAAAAAAGTGCTTTGTTATTCCTTCGTGGCTTAATCAATCCTGCACCCAACTAACATTTATCTTTATCTTTTTCGTTACTTTTTCTTTTATGCTAGTAACGTTAATTTATTTTTTAATTTTTATAAAAGTGAATGAATAAATTAATTTATTTTACATTTTATAAAAAAAATATTGCTATTTTCATATTCATATATATTTGGAGGAATTCTTCTTCATTTATATCAAAACCAAAACTTATCATATTTCAAACTAAATAGATATTTTTTCTTGAAAGTTGAATACCAATGAATTTGAAAAAAGATTATCAAAAAATGAATAAGAATTTTGAAATATTGTTTGCATCTAATAATATTGGAAATAGATAATGAGACGTGTTTAAAGTATAATAATCGATCTTATAAGTTTACGTTATCTTTTTTTATTAATTTTATTTTGAACTTTGCGAAATCTTGAATTTGTATTTATATGAAGAATCTATCTCTGTTTATCATGGAAACCATAAAAAATATTACATACGGTAACCCAATTTAGCTTTTTTGTTTTTTGTAATCCAGAAATAAATTATTTTTCAACAACTTTAGATGAGTATAAATTGATTTTAAAACTGAAAATTTCAAACTTTCTACATTTTTAAAATTAGAAAGGTAGACATAAACTTTGTGATAGCCACAAAGAGGATACGAATTAGTTTTAAAACCGGAAGTCTCAAACCTCTTATACTTTTGAAATTAGAAAAAAAAAAAAATTGTTCGGCCACACAAAAATATGAAAAATGATATTTGAATTTTGAATCTTTTATTAGAAATCGAAAACTACTACCACTGAGCCATATTTTTTATTAATTTGTTTATATTTTAAACTTTAATATATTGTTTTGTTTGTTGTTAATCAAAATATGTGTTCAAGAGTTGAGACACCAACAAATTAAGTCATTTCTTGCAAATCTTAAAATACTTTGTTTTTAGAAGAAAAGAAAATAAGTTTAGTTTTCATGCACATGTATCATTTAATTATAATGTAATAAAAACATGGAAGCAAATTTCATTTGATTGATTTACAAAATAATCCAAAATATATTTTATTATCAAATAAAAAAATCTTAAAATTTCCAAGTTAACCCATAAAAATCAATGATATTTAAAAATACCAAAATAATTTCTTAAAAAGAAGGGTAAGTTAAGTTTTGTTGCACATTTAATAGTACTATATCATTTAATTACAATGTAAGTAAAACGTTGATAGTCTAGATTACATCAAAATTTTAGTTTGGTATACACACCCCGATCTTATTATCAAATAAAAAAAAATCTTAAAATATTCAAATTAAACCATAAAAATTTAGTGATATTAAAAAAAAATTCGTTAGTTTTAGTTCACGTAAAATTAAATAATCTATTTTTCTCAAGGAAAAAGAGAAGGAGAATCCTAAGCTTCAAGGAAAGTTCCAAAAGCCCAAGCAATTAAGGGTGATTATTCGGTTTTTCGGTTTGGTTTCGGTGTTTTTTTTCGATTTTTGATTAACCGAATTGACTAAAACAAAAACCGACATTAAACCGAATTGAGGTTCGGTTTTTTGGTTAAAAAACCAAAATTTTCAGTTTGATTTTTTGATTTTCGATTAAAACCCTTTTTTTTAACTTTTTTTTTTTTTCCTAAAAACCGAATTATTTTGCTTTTAAAAATTATCAAACTTGCATGATCAAATGTTGTATATTTCACATTTGATTTTATAAGAAAATTGTGTAAGATTATTATTATTTTTCTATACTAAATTAGTTTCGTTTATATTGTAAATTAGATTGGTTGGACTTCTCATTATTTTTTCAATCATGCTACAATTAGTTTTTGGTTGATTTTCCATATTCTTTTTAATCTACTTATTTTGTGCATATTTTATGATTGAATAGATAATTTGAAGATTTTAATTTTTAATTTATTTTAGTATAAGCATAAAAAGAGTGTAAAAAATTATTATTATTAGTTGTTATTAATACTACTATAGTACTATTATAAATGCGGGGGCTTTGGATCAATTTTTTTAGAGGATATTTGTGCCAATTTTAATACAAGGAGATAATTTTTTTTTCCATGAGGTTTTAGGATTCACCCTACATATAAACTTGTATATTTATAAAAAATTACTTTATCGAGTCTTTTTTTTTTTTAATTTTTTTGTGAGCCAATATAATATAATCAAATATTTTATTATTTCAATAAATAATTAATGAAAAATATTTTTTTAAGTAGAAAAAATCATTAAAGCTATTTTTTTTTAGTTAAACCTATAGGTGCCTCTTTTATTTTTCTTTTTTTAAAAAAAAACTTTGGTATGTGTTTTTTTTAAAAAATTAATTTCGGTTTTCGATGAAACCGAATTCGAAAAAAAAAATCGAATCAAATCGAAATAATTTCAATTTTTTATTTTAATTTTTTATCAATTTTTTTAAAATCAAATAAAAATTACTAATTCGATTCAACTTTTTTGATTTTAATCGAATAATGCTCAACAAGTACCCTATCATTTTCTTGCAGCTCATTTTTTCAAATCCCAGACCGCCTCTCTCTCTCTCTCTCTCTCTCTCTCTCTGAAAAGCAAAAGCTATGCAATCCCCCAGCAATAAGTTTCAAATATTCTTCTTCTGCTCTCTCTCTCTTTCTCTCGCTGCTTTGCCCCTTCTTAGTAAAAGTAATGACTAAGCGTGTTAACCAAGTTCGGAAGGGACGCAATGTAAGCTTCAACATAATTGCCTCTTCCTTCTTTTGCCTTAGTAAAAGTATTGTCAAAATTATGATCTGGGTTTTGTTTATATATTTTGTTTCTGTAAGATTTAGACTGATGGGTTTTCTTGGACTGATATTCTATGCTTTTTCAATGAATTGATGAATTGGTTGTTGTTTGTATTGTATTGAGCAGCATTTTATAAAGTTCCTTTCTTTTTTTTTTATTAATAAATATTGTTGGTTCTTGTTTTTAGCTATTATCTTTCATAGCTGAGTAACTAGTCTGCACCTCAACCACCTGTGGTAGAAGTGGACACGTCCTGAAGCTTAATCTCGAGTTATATGGCCCTTCACTCCACACATAGGGAAAGTAGGCCTTTGAGCTTGTGTAGCTACAGGAGGGCATTGGGAAGTGTTGAACCTGAACCTGATTGATGTGGTTTTTGGACCTTGTTAATGATTGAATGCTGTTATCTTAAGTAGTATGAACAAAATCTTCAGTGTATGCTTTGGTATTGACCAGTGATAAACAATCTTTAGATGGGAAAGAAATGGGACATCACAGCCTCATAATCCCGAGCTTAGATGCTTGTGGTTCTACTCTAAACAACACGGAAAAGAAAAATATTTATAGATTTAATTGGTTTAAGTAAATAAATTGATATATTCTTTCTCAATATTTTCCTGAATGTTTGTGTTTCATTAATTGGGTTCATTATGCAGATTTTCTTCTGCTTTGGTCCAGATGCCAGGTCATTGGTTATTACCTTATTGCTCATCATGGTTCCCGTTGTTATTTTCTGTACAAAAGTGGCAAGGAACCTCCTCCATGAATTTCCAACATATAATGGCGGCTATGTCATTCTAGTCGTAACAATTCTGTTCACGATCTATGTGAGTCTTGCTGATTCTTCCTCTGCTTATTAACTGCTTTTAGAACCTTTGCTGTTTATCTATCATAGTGAAGACAGTGACATGGGAAATATGATGTCAATTTGTTTATTATGAAGTCAGAATGTTTCCATTAGATTGCCTAATTTGTCTCACTGTCCCTATTTTCCATTAAAATGTTCATTGCTTTATAATCCAGTATGCCTTTTTTTTTTTTTTTTTTGTTCCCATGATGCTTTTATTATGTTTTGTTGCTTTGGCCTTTCTCCTGGTCAATGTTTTGGTTGCCTTCAGTTTATGTCTAGAAACCGTTCAATTTGACCGTAGGTAGTCATGAACTCATTATAGGTATTGGTGCTCCTGTTTCTCACTTCAGCCCGTGACCCAGGCATTGTTCCTCGAAATTTACATCCACCAGAGGAAGAGATTTGTTACGACTCTTCAACCTCCGTAGACGTTAGTGGGAGACAGACACCAACTCCACGCTTATCCCGAACAAAAAAAGTGTTTGTCAATGGAAAGCCTGTGAAAGTAAAGTATTGTGATACATGCATGATATATCGCCCACCCCGTTGCTCACATTGCTCTGTATGTGATAACTGCGTGGAGCGATTCGATCATCACTGTCCTTGGGTGGGCCAATGCATTGGACTGGTATGTAGTTTAGATTGCTCATTTTGTTTTTTGTTTTTTTTTTGGTTGAATTGAGTGCTTGGTCCAAATTGAGAACCTTCTAAAACATTTAAGAATTACTCATTGAGGGATGTCATCTTTCTGAGTTGTAGTTCGAAAATTTTACATAAATCGACGGAATGGATTTGGCCAATGTGGTCATCCATCCAACATTCTGCTACTATCTTAGTTTATTGCTAAGCAGCGAGGACAATGAAAAGAACATGAACTTACAAAAATTCATTTGACTATATTGAGGAATTTGAATTCCTCAAATATTGCTTCCAATCAAGGTCAACATGTTTTCAACTTTTGTATGTGTTAGTGAAAGAATGGATTCTGTCTTAATTAAGCCAGGTATTTTTATCTTTTTGCAGCGCAATTACCGGTACTTCTTTCTGTTTGTTTCTTCATCAGCTCTTCTCTGTATCTTCGTATTTGCAATGTCAGCTTTGAACATAAAATTTCATATGGATGATTATGGAACTCTGTGGAGGGCGATGAAGGAGTCACCTGCATCCATGATATTAATAGTCTATTCCTTCATTTTCCTCTGGTTTGTCGGGGGCCTCACGTGCTTCCATCTGTATCTTATAGGCAGAAACCAGGTCAGTTTGACACAATGGTTCTCGGTAGTCTTTTACTCTATATGCTTTCGAATGGCCCAGTGTCTAAATCTTTTAACATTTTTTCAGACTACATATGAAAACTTTCGCTATAGAGGAGCCAACAGGCAAAATGTCTATGACCGGGGGTGCTTAAGGAATTTTCTTGAAGTATTCTGCACAAGAAACAATTTCCAGGCTTATGTACAAGAAGAGATGCCTGTGCGTATAACCCGAGAAGTAAAAATAGATGATTCAGAAGGAGACAGTCGGACAAAAGTACAAGACAATCCAGAAGTTGATAATGACCTTTTAAAGATATCCCATCGTCGTGATGCTTTAGAAGCTGATAGGAGTTGAACATGAAGGCAGCGGAAGTTGAGTTCTCTTTGCATTAGAAATCTCAACCTGAGCCATTAATGAAACACACTTATTCAAACATGGTAGAAAAAAGGGTTGGAGCTTGGGAATTTGTTTGAGATTCTCGCCAAATACTAGTTTTATATAGCAAAAGTTACACAATTTAGAGGGAAGAACTCCAAGGTGATGTTTATATCAGTTATTTCTGTTATTCTTTTTCTTTTAATTTCCATGCAATTGGATGCTGTGTTGATATCTTTGATAATAGTAGCAGATATACCCCTGGGATTTGGGAAGTTATTAGATAACCCTTTTTAGGTATAAGTGAGGATTTCCACATGGGAGACTTTGGATGATTTCCATCATTGCCATGGCAGTGTAATCATTTCTCATATTGCTGAACAATATGGTTCTTAATTATAATTTATGAAATTTTATATGTTGCATTCAAGTTTTCGAATTCTGAGAAATAGAAAGAAGACGAACAGTCATTGTGATTTTGCAACAAAAATTTTACCAACAAACGGGGTAAACTTTCATTTTGAAACTTGTAATTTTTTTTTTTTTAATTCCATCGTGTCTTCTACTTGGAGCTTGGACACAAATCTTTCACTTCTCTTTTTCTCTTTTATATTAATGCAACTTGCTCTAGCATTTTAATATTAACAAAAAAATTAAAGTTAAATAATCGATCACTATCATTGTATTATTTAAAATACATTTCACTCAGATTTATTCACGTTATTCACCTATACTTATTCACACTCATTCCTTTCCCTATAGTGGTATTTTTATAATTTTCAAACATTTTAAAAATATTTATGATGAAAATTTTAGTGACATTATATTTTAATTTTCTTTTTTAAAAATATTATTTTTTATTTCGTAAATTTTTTTGTTTCATTTTGGTCCTTTTTATTTTGATCACTTTTGTCCTTTTTTTTTCTCTATTTTTTTAATTAAAAATTTTAAATCAAAAAAAATGTTTAGAAAAAATAATTTACAAAATAAGTTTTTAGCTAAGAATCCATTGATTTTGACATTTTTATATTATTATAAATTTTTTAGTTTATAGATAGAGATAAATAAATGATGTTTTGAAAATTTATAAAAAATATAAAGAATAATCAATCAAATCTAAAATTTTGATTAAGAAAATTATAAAATTGAATGAATTTTTATTCGAGTTTTGATTTGATATATGCACAATATAATACAAAATATCAAACTGAAATAATTTTTTAAAAATAATTTTATGTGTTCTATCCGATCTATAGCATAGCGTGAGTAAAAAAAAAAAAAAAAAAGTATATTTCTAAACTATAACGTATTTGACATGTACGAACTATGCTTGAGAAAGCTAAATGAATGAAAAATTTTATTAAAACCTAAAAGAGACATAAATAAAAACAATAATCAATAGTATATTTCTTCAAGTTAGAAAAAAAGGTTGAATTTTGATTAAATGAAAAGTTAATCGATAATATTCCTCAACTAAAAGAAAGAAAAACGAAGAAGAATGTTAGATTTATAAAAGATTACGTCTCTACAATATCATTTAAATGAAAGGATTAGCTAAACTTATGAATAACGTTTTTATTCTCGTTTCTCAACAAAATAATTCATCTTAAACAATTCTTTCTATTTTTTCTTAATAACTAATTTATTTTTAAGACAAAAGAGACTAATTAATTTATTTTTCAAAACTTTAGAAATTAATTTATAATTTACTCTTCAAATTTGGTTTCGAGAGCCTTTCTGGTCGGATGTACAACCGTTAAAAAGTCACGAGGCCTAATAAGTACAAAAGGAGCCCACAAAGCCTAATTACAACCAAAACTTATTAAGAAAAACCAAACAAAAAGGTAACTCATAAGCTACCCCAACAATACATTTTAGCCCAGCGTATGGGAAATTTTCAAAAGAACAAACCATAGGCAAAATATTGTGGTCTTTGGCTTGCCGTCGAATTTGTTCACCATTTAGTAAGCCATCCGATACTCGTGATCAACCTCAATCGTCATCCACAACACTAATCTAAGGTACGATCACCATGTTATAATGGAAATTGCCTCTAAAATCTGGTGGCAGTCCCATAGATCTCTAATATGAGCGAGGAATAGGCGAAGGAGGAGAAACCGAAGCAGTAACCATTGATGCCCATCATATTCCACCGTCTTCACGTTCACTCGGATTCTTCAGTGAAGGAAGGTGGGCACATCGAAATCCAAACAAACAGCTGATACTGGTAGAGAAAAAGGAAAAAGTAAAAGAAGTCCAATTGATTTAGACGAAGAAGAAACGAGCAATCAACAATCCTTAATTGAATAAAGAATTTTTAAATAAGAAGGGCTTAAGCTATTGGGATGGGCTTAAGCTATATGTACCAGTTATATTATTAGTTAAATTTAGTCTTTTTGGCCTTTAGGCTGGTTAAAATGGCCATGGCCATTACAGAGCCTTAGTTGGTTCTGTAACCTGTATTGATTTATTTTTCTTGTGAAAGTTGTTACGATATAAAGAACAAAACTTAATGGAATATCAACAACAAAATTCCATAACAAACTTTTCTCTCATCCTTCTTTTTCTCTCTCTATTGAATCTTCTTCTTCTCCTTCTCTAAATCCTCTCATATTTTTCTCTTCTTTCTCCCAACCTTTTCTTTTCTGCCAATAGCTTTATATCATTGGTATCAAAGCTGACCATCCTTGGTAATGTTCTATGGAAAAAAAAAATGCTAAGATGGATGACCTACATAAATTAGAAGAATCAATGAAGATACTGGTCCAAGAAACTAATGAGAAAATGAAAGAGGTAACCAAAAGTATACAAGATAATTTTGGGAAATGGGAAATGGTCCAAAAGTTACAAGAAGGGTTTGTTGAACTCAAGGGCTTACTCAATGCCCTTATGGCCTCTTCCTCTACCACACAACAAGCCACCCCAATTGTAACTCTATCCAACTCTGCGAGTTTGCTACCATCATTCCATCCTAATGCTCCACCTATAGAAACTCTATTACCTACACCCAATACACACATGCTACATCCATCCCCACAAACCTACCATAATAAACGAGTACACGTTAACCACCTATATTTAAACACCACTTACCACCTGTAAATCCAAAAACCCCAAGAGAGATTTTTCAATTTTTAACAAGAAAGATATCAATAAATGGATATTTAAATATCATTAGTTTTTTGAGATTGAGTCAATGGATGAGTTTGAAAAGGTTCAATAAGCCTCTTTCTTCTTAGATGGATAGGCCTTATACCGGCATTAGGTTTACACTCAAAGCTTAGGAAGGAAACCGACCTAGAATGAGTATGTATCCGCAATGATCAATAGGTTTGGTGTAAAGTTAGACTTATTAGGTCAAAATAAGAACCTCATACAAACATCCGACCTAGAAATATACATATATAAATTTGATTTTATGGGGAATAGAGTCGTTATCAATGAACAACAAGCACCGAGTATGATTTTAGATAGACTAAATGAAGATGGTAAAAGTCTAGTCTCTATGTTTGAACCCTAAACACTAACCAAAGCATATGACCTAGCTTGAAAACAAGACACCACAAACACATACCTCAAAAGGCACTAATAAAAAACACTACCTATTTACCAAAATAGACCACTAGCTATCATTTACAAATTTAACCAAATATCCGGACCTACATACAACCCACTTAAAACTAATGTTTTTCCCCAACACAACTTAAAAACAAACACATATATCCAGAATACCAAGTCCCACCAACCAAAGACCCTAACCAGTAAGGAGTTCGAAGAAAAGAGGGTGAAAAATTAGTGTTTACGGTGTGATGACACCTATGCACCAAGGCATAAATATAGGTAGAGAAAGCTTTACTCTATTCGGATAGAAGATGAGAAAGTAGAAGAGTTTGAAGAGATAGAGGGGCACTAACCTATCAAGGAAAACCCAAAGGAACTAAACCCATATATCTTTGTTATGCCTTGGAAAGTCGAAGTGGTTTTAAAACCCTTGGAATGGTAGGGCATAAGAAAACTAGTAAGCTGCATATTCTTATGGACTCGGGTCTACTTACAAATTATTGAACCTAGTTATAGCTAACAAGTTAGGATGTAAGCTATCATCTATCAAGCCTTTAGCTATGGGGCTTGCAAATGGCGATACAATGCTATGCACATCAATTTATAGTGGATTTCAATGGGTTATACAAGGGGTTCAATTCTATATAGATGTATTGGTGATGGAGCTTTATAATAATGACGTGGTTTTAGAGGTACAATGATTGTCAAAACTTGGAAATATTGTATCTAATTATAAGGAGATGTAGATGAGTTTTAAAATGGAAGAAAGGGAAATAAAAATGGTTAGTCAACCTAATGTTAGGTTACAAGCCATCTCTAATTCTTAGATGAAGAAGCTATTAAAACAATCCACTCAAGTAGTACAAATACATGTCTACGAGCATTGTACCACTTGAGCTTACTCAACACAAAGAAGAAAAAGACCCACGGTTCTTACTTGTCTATAGTAGAGCAGTTCATCCCTTCATACTACTCTTCTAACTCGCATTTGGCATAAAATTTTTTGAACCTAGAACCCTACCACCAACCCAATCCTATGATCATAGGATTTCTTTAAGGAAAGGAATACAACTTATTTATAAAAGGCCATATCATTATTTAGGTTTACAAAAAAATATGCTAGAGAAAATGATAAAAGAAATGCTTACCATAAGCATTATCTAATGTATTGTGAGTCCTTTTTCTTCTCTAGTGGTCCCGGTTAAGAAAAAAGATGGGTCATAAAGGTCTGTGTGTTGACTATAGAGCTTTACATAGCATCACAATTAAAGATAAATTCCCTACCCTCTCATTGATGAATTTCTAAAAGAATTACATGAGGCCACTATCTATTCTAAGATTGACCTAAGGTTAGGATATCACTAGATTAGGATGTCCCCCTCTAACATACCTAAAACGACCTTTAAAACCCATAATGG